GGTACCTCTGAAATATACAGGATATCCCAGAAGGAAATGTCAAGATATCGTCAGTTGATTCATGGGGAAATTCTAAGTAAAAATGTTGTATCGATATGGATCTGATTCGTAACAATTGCATTTGGATAAAAATAATAAGAAGCTTAGATGACTATTTATTAATAATTGCGGAAAGTACCAAATACAAGCACACTAAATACCAGTATACTCGTCCAGAATGTTTTCAAAGGGACCACCTCCGTACACAAATACCATGTCTGCGTATTATTATTATATGAAATGTTATGCTAAAATAATTACTGCAATGCACTTATGTGTTTGCGCTCTGAATAAACAACACAGACTCACTGACCCACCAATAACAAGTCCCAACACACTCCAACGTGTTGAGACCTGCATAGATGGTGATGCAGAGACTTGCATTATCTCGGTAACCGCTAACAATCAGACTTTTTTACTTAGATTTGCCCCAAGAATCAACTGATGAAGTCTTGACATTTCCTCCAGGGCCACTCTTTATAATAACTAGCAGTGTGTCCACAATGTTACGGTGGGGAAACTCTGCAAATGCTTAACGTCGTTCTTCTATTGTGCTTAGTTACAGTGCCGCAGACGTAAAACGTACGGTTTTGTGGTCGGTAATCAACTAACTAGATGGCTTACCGAACCCGAAGGTTCATCAATGCAAACCGTAAAACCGAGAATTCCTTTGTAAGATTTGAAGTTTTCACAGCGGCGAGTCTGAAGATTGCTGTCTACTGGGTTGTTGCGCCGTGTAATCTGGTAGAAGTTTACCGACGTTACAGAGCAAGTACCTCTGAAACGTCGGTAAACTTTTACCAGACTTCACGGCGCAACAAACCAGAAGACAGTCATCTTTACAAATAATTTAACTCGACAAGCCAAAGTTTGACGCACATGTAAACAACGGAAAAAATTATAACCTAATTTTGCATGTTTTGATCTTGTCCGGCTGTCGGTTTTATATTGGTGTGTTTGGCAGGAATTTGGCTTAAGTTGTTGTGAATATGTTCTCACAATTAACTTACTCTATAAAGAATCTTTATATAAATTTTATACTTTCAATGATATTAATAATTGTGTTACCTCTCTCTCTCTCTCTTTTCAAAGGAGATTTTATTTTACTATGTTGTTTCATTTGAGTCACTGAAATTCTGGCGATGTTCTAAATTAAATTTAAATCGGAGGTACACGAATTTTAACGCAGTCTTTTTAAGCAGCGTTTGCGTAATTAATATCGATAATATTTACGTTGGGTTTCTGGAAATTGTTAACCAACCAGTTATCAAGTTTTAGATTAGGTTGCTGTTGCTCAAAAATCCCAGTTTGGCTTCGAATTCCGGTGAACATGGATGACGTTCAGCTACATTTGTGCGTATTTGTTGACAGATTTAGTTAGAAGTGACTAGTGATATCTGGTGGAAATGCTTACAGGAAGTAAAGCAGACATGCGTATTACTTACTTCAGTTGCTGAATGAATCTGCTTACCAGGAGCGTATCTGTGCCTTGACTGATAACAGGGTAGATTTATCAATGGTCCTATTAATGTATTCTGTGAATTGAAAGCAAGGGAAAATATTAAATAAACTGTGAAAGTCTAAATCAATCATTAAGTTGCAGATATTTCGCTGAATTTCCGGGCATGCAGTATTCTGTTTGAAATAACGCATACAGTTGAATGTCATGTGTTCGTTAAGTCATGGGAATAATACGACATTTTCAGTAATGCATTTTTTAGTCGTTTGTATTTGCTATGCATCCTTTGCAAAAAGTGAATAAAATTAAATCTACTCGCCCTTCGCACTTATGTCTGAAATTTCTGAACAGATTTTGATTGGGGTCTGAGGTCCTCACGGCGGCGAATACGAAGATGTCTTCTGGGTCGTAACGTCATGTAGCCTGGTATAAGTAATCGCCCTGGTAATGGAGGCAGCAAGTACCTCTGAAACGTTTATGAACTTCTACCAGACTACGGCGCTGCAACCCACAAGACAGCGCAATTCGGACTTTGATTGAGTCCAATTTTGTGCATCTGCACTAAAACTGTAAATATCCTAGGCCTATCATCATTTTAGAGGTATTTGTTCACAGATGCAGTTGAGCGAAATAAAAGGAAACGTCTGTAGTGGTCTAATTGTGAAAGAAGTTTCTGAAACAACGAGAAGATGCCGGTACTGTATTATGAATATTTACAGACCGAACACGCTTAAGTGCCATATACGACTGTTTCATTCGGAATCTGTTCGTGTTTCTGCGCCAAGAGGCATTCTGGTATTAACGAACACTGAAGTTCTAGTGATATTCCGTTCTGAAAGCATGCTAACACCTCAGAGAGGAGCAAGTTCGTGAAGAAGAAACAATAGAAACTTAGCGCTTATTAGTGGGAACAATTCTCTTTTCTGCCGCCTGTGCAGTTGTAATTAATTGTCAATGTCTTCTCTTCTGTCTCTTCCACATTTTTCCCCTTTTCACTTCTTCAGTTTGTTGTCTTTATTGGACACACAAGCAGAGTCCTGGACAGAATT